GAGCTTAGCCACATCAGCATTGATGGCCATGGCGTCAGTCAATCGACTGAAAATCGAACATGAAAACTGCTTTGCTGCTACTGCATCGAATGAATCTTCGGTGACGGATCCCGTTGAAGTGGATTGAGATTGAGATTGAGCACTTTTATTTACAATTGCCGACGTTGGAGGTGGGGACAAAATAGGTTTCTGTGGAGTTGGGCACACTTCAGGAATTGAAGCTGTCACTGGAGGTGGTTGGTATTTCGCTGTTGAAAATGGTAACGGAAGACCTTCGGCTGTGGTTTTCACATTTGAGCTCGCTGCTGCTGCAGATGATTGATGCATTGGAAATGCTACGCGTTTATTCAAATTGGTACGTGGTTTTCCAGCAGCTGGAACTGGTGCTGCCATCGATGACATCGGTGGAGGATCGTTCCAACCAGGGTCATAGGTTGCTATTCAATTTCAATTGTTAGATAGATATTAGAAATGTTTTTTTTTTTCAGAAGACACACTTTATGAAGTATACTTACATCGGTCAGGTGGAGTGTAACTGTTTGACATGCTTCTCTCTTTTTCTCAAATCTATAAAAACAATAAATGCCCTGAATAAACAGTTTTAATTATCAAACAAATAAGAAATAAAAAAAAATAGAAATAGTGAAACTTTCTGTTTTCAAGTGACGTGTAAATAAATAAGTGAATGTTTTGACGTTTATCATATGTTCTCTTCAATCACAGAAGCGCACTGTCCCTATCGTGAGCCAATCTATTTTAATTTGAAACCGTGCTATGGATTTCATACTAATTCAAAAATTATAATCAGTAAATGTTTGAATGAGAAAAATGTTTTTAACGTTTTATTCATATAATTCTGTAATTTCTACAAATTATTCGGGACTTTTTTTGTTATTGTCATTACAGTTTTTCTATAAAATGTTTTGCTTTGGAATCGATTAGAAAATGACTTCATATAAAAATACGTATATGTGTGTATGTATAATTGATCAGAAAAGAAAGATTTCATCTCAATATTCTTGGATTTTAGTCAAATAAAACTTATTCGTCATGTGCATTTATACATTGCAGGATGTAATACATTTTCATTGTATTCATTGTCATTTGATTTGTCGAATGGTTGGTTGGTTCTGATTAAATTCTGGACTATTTATCGTCTGTCGTACCGCCCAAATGATTCTTGGAATGGGCATTTTTCAATATGTTGGCTCTGCAAAAGAAAAACAAAATGAAATAAAATCAAATATTTCCACTAAATCCGAAAATAATCTAACCAATTGCTCCAAAGAACGACAGCGATGTGACGTGTTGAAAGGACAAAAGAGCATTTGAACACTTGGGTGAATGCTAGCGCATTTTATCAAATGTGCCTCGTAATTTCGGTTCAAAACGAAGTGGCGATTATCATACGGGCAGCGGATAAAATAGTTTGTCTTTGGTGGCACAAACACGTTTTCCTTGTTGTCCTTTTGTCTGTCCATATTTTTGGTCTTATTCCTGAGAAATGGTTGAAAAATCGAAGTTAGATTATGGCAAATCTTTTTTATCCTTAGATTGATTGGAGATTGGCGGAAACAGTCGATAAATTTAATGCAAAAACTCGTTTTATCCAGAAATTGACGCTTTGATAAAGTCGATTGAATGAATTGATGATAAACTTGTCTCTTTTGATACTCACAAAAAAACGAATGACAAAACCACTTTATTTTGGATAAAAATCCAAGGATCAATTTACAAACTGTCTACAGCAATGCTGTACGTTTTGTGTTGTACCAAATTTTATTGACGAATAATCGTTGTGTTCGAATTGATATTGAATTTTTGTTTGAGCCTGTCGAAACAAACTCATTTCTTGACTAAGACCACGCCAACGAATATCAACATTGAACGGTTTATGCAACTACGTAGTTCAACTGATTCTTCCATACTATTTACTGCTTTTAACTGTCGAAAGGAATATTCCATTGAATGTTCACTACTATCCAATTTTTACATTACCAATCACATAAAAGACATTCAAAGCGATGAATTCAAAGTCGTTTACAAGCAAAACATTGTAACTCAGCAAAATTGGCATTTTGTTTGGATTTCAGCGAATGTCACAGCTATAAAGTAAATTGTTTATTTTTATCGTTGGAAAAAATAACAAAAACCCTAATGCCAACACATGTCTTTTTTTTTCGTTAGAGTGACATGATTTTCTATTTGAGAAAATTAAAAGTAGACATTGTTTTTGTGATAAGCTACTTGGTTTGATCGTTTTTCAAACCTTCTTATAACTAAAAAAAAACTTTTGTCTTATATGCTTTTCTTTCTCTTGTTTATATCATTTATTTCCAAAAAAAAATTTCTATTTACTTATGCCTCTCCAAACAACTCAATTTGTGTAAATTGTTTTGACAAATCATCATTATTATTATCATCTTCTTTATTATAGTTAGAATGTCATAGAAAAAAAACTGTTTATTAAATATATCTGGATGCAAATTTATTTCCTCTTTCGAAAAAGTTGTTTAATGGCAAAAAGCGTGACTCCACCATAGTTATTCCCAGTCTTCATCATCATTATTGTGGGTTCTGCGTGATTTTGAACTCGGCTTTGTCTCAGTGGTTTCCTTTGCATTGTTTGTGCTGACACTGTACACGTAACGATCGAAGTTCTCACGCGATGGACATTCATCAATATGAGCCTATTCAAATGACAAAGCAAATATACCGAATTTAGAAGAAGGAACCACACAATTTATTCAACAAATTACTCACATTTTTGTCTTCTGGCCGAAATTTGTGGGTGACATCGAATGGACAGGTCTCCAACTGGATTTCTGGATGCTGTTTTGCACATTTTATTAAGTGCGTTTGAATTCGACTTTTCATAATCACATGACATTTATTGTACGGGCAAATGACCGTATCGCCATACCCAGGCAACTTGTTCATTTTAGCGTTGTCAGCAAATAACCAATTGAATGAAAAAAAAAAATTCCAATAATTGTGCGATAAACGAAGAAACCAAGCAATGCGTGCAATTGTTCGACACAATAAATACTGACTGACAGTTGTGCATAATCACACTTCCCTATCGGGAAACATTGGCGTAATTTGTATTATTGAAGAAAAAAACAACAGACATAAGTGTATCAAACTGCAATTATTTATAATCAACTGATTTTCAAAACCGAAAAAAAATCAAGATGCATGAATGACCCCAACATTAAATCCGGATTCAACTCGGTGATGATATTAAAAATTAAACTGAACTGAATTGATTCATTTTTTTTTTAATTTATTCTTCAAATTTTATTTAAGAAAATATAAACTTCCCCGTCTAAAGGAGATTTGATTTGTTAACAAAATTAAAGTTTTTTTTATTTTATCGTATTGAAATCGATATTTTGTGTAAATTGTTTTGTCAAATTTTCTGATAATTTTACCATTTGGGTCATTTCTTCTGTTTGCATAGAATGTGACAATTAAAATGGTTTTGCGTTATCAAATCAACTTTTTGTACGTGTTCATTGCTGACGACGATCGATTTGGCTTAACCGCTTGCGCTCGGCATCGGCAAACTTGCGGCGTTCGGATGGTGTCATCAAGCCTGGTGTGCGCAGAACCTTCGCATTCATTGCGTATTTTTGTGGATCGTACGTTGGCGTATTGTACTGTAAAATGAAATGAAAACTTTAATGAAAATTCAAGCCATTTTTCAAATGGCAACAACCACAGAATGATTGCTTTTATTTCAATATGATGTTCATGCCATTTCCAAGGATTGAACAAAAACAAAGATTGCATTCACTTACATGATCCCAATCTTCATCGTCATCGTTTTTCGGTGGCGGTGGTTTTGGTCGTGGTGTCGGTTCAACAGGTGGTACCTTTGGTCCATTACCGTTGCTCACGCTGTACACATATCGATCGAAATTCTCACGCGATGGACACTCTTCCACGTGTGCCTATTGCATTAAATAGAGTTAATAATCAGCAGGAAAAAAAGAAACACATGTAACAATAAGATGCATTCAGTAAACTTACTTGCAAGTCCTCCTTGCGATAACGGTGAGTAACATCGAATGGGCACGTTTCCAAAACAATTTCTGGGTAGCTTCGTGCACATTTGATCAAGTGAGTTTGAAAACGATGCTTCAAAATCACATGGCATTTGTTATACGGACAAATGACCGTTTCTTCGTAACCAGCCAGCTTGGTGCTTGCCATTTTCACCCCTTTCTCCTCCTCTTCCGTATGCTTTCACAGTAAGTAAAACAGTTGTTTGGTCAATCGAACTGTAGAAAAACAAAAGAAACTGATTTATAACACACAAGCAAAATTCAATCGATACCATTTCGACAATCAGTTCATGTAATACAGTAATATGCAACAAAAATAATCAATATTCACGTTTGAACAACAGAAAAAGATTTGAAACATTAAATACACAACGAAAGTGTCAAGTTTCATGGCCACGAATTGACTTGTTCTCAAAATCTTATTTTAGAAAAAAAAAATAAACACATTGAACAATATCATTTGTTACTCACATAAACAAATGCCTGAAACGAGGAGAATAATGTTGTTTGTCGTCGCTTTGTGTGCTCTTCTTGGAATTGCTTCTCTCCGAGTGAAAAAGTTGTAACTGTGACTCAACTCTTGAGCCAGACGAGCGCGTCAACCTAATGCAGGAAATAAGATACATTCGTTTGTTAGTGTCGGTTCGACCAACTACAGTCTCTTGAGAATGTTATCATAGTACCGCTTTGCTGTGCACGTTTTTTCATGTTACGCGTTTGCAACCAAAAAAATGCCACGAAAAAAGAACATCTTGATGATTGTGCATCGTACAATGCGATAATTAGGGAAATCAGTAGGGAAAAAATTGAAGTATGACAATGAAAACAATAAAGTTCCGCGCAAAAAATTGAGATAGAGTATTTGCATGAAATGTGTTATTTTTGAACCAAGCGTACCGGCATTGATTACACAAATCAATTATTTCCCTTTACTTAGCTGTTATTTGAACACTATTTCTTGAAATCTCCGGGCAAACACTTACTTGGAATAGAATGCAATCAATAACAACCTTTTTTCACGTCTGTAACTATCAACACACCATAACAATATAATTGTGCTGCTTTCATATACTTCTGCATCTACTTTCTAAACACACTTCGTTGACATTGATTGCTGTAAAGTTGCGATCCCTATCGGGGACTCACAATGTCAAACTGCTACAAAAAGTCTATCGGGCAACATATAGCACATCGTGTGTCTTCGAAAAGTCAACTGTCAAATATTCTTCTTTAAGTTTTCGTCGTCCAAAATGGTAAGTTTTGTGAACATGTTGGAAATAAAATGGAAATTTTCGCATTATTTCCAACAAAAATTGAAGTAAAACGATATCAAAAAGCACATTCGACCAAGGCTTGCTTTGCATTGAAAAAAAATTATCCCTTGATTCCATATAGAAATGTTATTTTTGGAAATTGTTTTTCATCAAGCAAGATGCATTGGGCGCTTTTGACATGTGTTTTTGGTTAGGATTCACGCAATTTTTGAATTATAGTAAAAAAAAACAATTTTCAATCATTTTTGGATTAATGTGTAAAATTCTTCACTCGCATTTAGACGAAAGGTACATCAAGTTTTGGAAAGCGCCACAATAAGACACATACGTTGTGTCGCCGTTGCGGCCGTTCATCATATCATATCCAGAAATCGGTGTGTGCACAATGCGGCTATCCAGCAGCAAAAATTCGATCATGTAAGTGTAAATTGGAATTAAAATGCTTCTCATCCAAACGATGAAAAAAACTCTCTATTAAAGAAAGAACATTCTTGATTTGAATCCATAGATAATTGGTCAGAGAAGGCAAAGCGCAGAAAGACCACAGGAACTGGCCGTTGCCGCTACTTGAAAGTGGTGCGTCGTCGCTTCCGTAACGGATTCCGTGAAGGTGGACAGGCCAAACCACGAAAGCAACCAACTAAAGCCTAAATCAATTCGATTGATTTGAATTTATACCCAAGCAACGCTGTTAAAATCGGATAAAATCAATCAAAATTCGAATAAAATTTAACTCTTTGCATAAAACTTGTATTTTCCATTTATTCCACCATTATCTATCTCTGTCCATTTCCATTTGAACAATCAGAAATTCAACAGACATTTTCATCTCAATAAATTATATCAATGAACGGTAAAAGTACAAACGCACAAAGACATAGACACACGGGAATAAAATGTCCACTATATTACCGATGTATGTGTGCGTGTGTATGTGCGTATGATTGAGGTTTCGCGACGTAAACGTTTCATTGCAAGTGCAATACAGATGGTTTCTCTAAAGAGAAACGTCAAACATAGACTTGTGTATATTTTGTGTTGTTGTCACTTTCGCCGCTGTTTACAATCGAACTGTGTATTGTTGTTACCATAATTGTAAAGAATATGATAGAATCAGACAATTTATTCTTTATTTTTTTCCATTAAAATTTTGCGAAAAATTTATATATCAAAACTACACTTCAAGAAGCGTATATTGTTTTTGCATGAAAATGGAAGAATCGACAGAAATAAAAACAGAAACTCGTAAGTACAGCACGTTATGTTTTTTTTCCAAGAAAAATGTACAGACCTTATCAATAATGTGAACAAATGAGTTATAATTAACAAACACAATATTTTCAGCTATGCGTCGTTCGATACGTGCGAAAGTTCCAAACACCGATTTGATCAACAGGCGGAAGATTTTGAGCAAAATTCCGGTACCACCAAGTATAAACCGAAATTACAAGATGAAAAGGCAAAGTAATATTAAAAAGATGAAGGGAAAGGTCGATTTACAAATTAAAAACGAACCCGACGATTCCATTGGTTGTGAACAGTCGAACAAAACGATTGTTCAACCGGATGAGATTCCGATCAAAGAAGAAAAAGACGAAGTTCATGACGAAAATGATTCGATAATTAAACCAGATCCGCTTATTGTTCCAGACAATTTCAGTAAGTGCTAGGAATTTGTCTAGAATTCTAATAGACATGGTGGCATCTAGGGTGGCATACCAAATTCTCAATGCAAACAATAAACAAAATGCCTTTTTCTCTTGAAATAGTTGTGACGAAAAATGCCAGAATCATGTGTGGCATGGACAAAGCGATTGAACCAGTGTACTTTCCTACTGAAGCTCAAAATTCGGGTCTCATTTTGTTCAACAGCAGTTCTAAAAAGGCCATCCTTAAAATATCGTACCCAAAAGTAATATTAACCACTTTTCCGAATTATGACTAAATCTTTTTCTAATTGTTTTGTATCTATTTTTCCACAGTGTTTCGTGATATTGAGTGGTCAATTCCATGTTGACGGGCAAGGAGTCTTCCAAACTGGTGATTTCATCAAAGCACCTGCTGGTAAGACGATTAAATGGCAGTTTCTAACGTCTTCAATTGAAATTAGTATTTCTTTTTCAATTGAAATCTAACGCCTATTCCATTTTTTTTCCGTGATTGCTACAGGTTCACAGCTCGGAATCAAGTACCAGGGTGGCAGTGAAGGTTGTGGGAGAATCATCTTTTTCAAATCACAATCATGAAATTGTGTAAACTATTTGAATGCCATAAATTTTGCATACGCATTGCGCACCTGAATAGTCGATTCATTATTATTAGAATTACATTCGAGATAGAATAACTTTTGTACGAAATGTAAAATTTTTTATCGTAATTTATATTTGTTTATTCATTCCACAAAATTCTCTTAACAAATAGAATAAGTTGAAAATAAACAGAAGTGAATTGAACACAAATTCATAGCTATTTCTTGGAATTTCTCTTCGTGTTTCGGTATGCATGATTTCTAGCCCATTGTTTGATGTTACCGCCATTTTTGGCCCGCAGCAATGCTGATTTTGAATCAACATCACGGAGAACGAATGGTGAGAAACCTGAAATGAATTTTTGGACATTAACATTAAATTCAACGCAATTCATCTAGCGCTCTTATTGTTTTGCGCTTGGAAATACACAAAATTACCTGCAATATAATCCTCATCCATTGCGTTTGTTTTTGTTCGGGCAACACGTGATGGAAACTGTTTTGGAATCGGTTGGTCTTCAAACAAAATCGGATTCGACGAGTGTTTACCACCGCGTGGCTTCGGAATACTCTGGTTCTTGCCTTTGGCTGTGAGTGGTCGACGCAAATTGATGTGAATCACTTGTTGGCCATTTTCATCGATGCTCACAGCAACTCGTTTTAGTGTTTTGTGGCCACAATTCGGACAGAATAATTTGGTCATGATGCTGGTGGTTTTGAAGCACGCATAGCAACGCAAGATGTAAGTTCGCATTTGCTTGATGATACGACCGTCCAAAGCGGCAATATTTAAATTGATTTGTTTCAGTACATTTTGTACAGCATAATCGGTTGACATGCATGCGACCCGGGCTTGCTTTTCATCATCGATGATGTCTTTGCCGCAGGCACTTTTCATTTCTTCCAAGTTTGATGGGGTGATCCAGCTACTTTCATCATCCTCTTCGTCGTCATCTTCTTCTTCCTCCTCACTATCTGTTTCGCTTTCTTCAATTAAAAAATTATCTTCATCTTTTTTGCTCTCATTCTTAACCGATACGAGAATTTGATCGGCTTCACTCTCCGAAACCAGACCGCAGTTCAATTTATTGAATTTTTCTTTGAGTTCTTCAACCGTTTTTCCGGTTTTGAGTTTATCCAAGGGGTCTGTGAAATTATTTGTTGTTTCGCCTTGATCCTCAGTTTCACTGTCGTCTCCTTCTTCCTCGCCATTCTCGCGTGCCTCTTTCTCCTCCTGTTCGACTTTGTCGGCCACAAGCTCCCGATTCTGACGTGTTTTCTCTTCAACTTTTTCCTTTTGTGGTGGCACATAAAAACCGGCCAATGGATTCTTATCAATCAATTCGACTGGCTTTTGTTTTGATGCAATTGTTTTAGATACCACTGGTTCAGTACGTAAATGATCCTTGCCAACCAATTCACATTCAAGTTGATAAGTTAGAGCAATCACTTTAAGATCGGCTGATGACAAACTCAAATAGTCACCGGTCTTCTTGGCAAATGCAATTACGTGTTTAACTGCGTCGGGCGACGGTTCATCAATTACCAAATCATATGGCAAAACACACAAACGCTTCAGTTGACGCTTGTTTTTGATTTCCTTCACCACCTCTGGTACCGTAATGAGGTATTCGGCATGTTCCTGCAACGGTTCACAGGGAATATTAATATTAATATGAATGTAGATTTGCTTGAAAATGGTTTAGTACAATTTACCTGGAGAGCAACGTTGTTTATGAAGGCGGTCGTATCAACGACCAAACAATGGAACTTGTTTTTAGACATTTTTGCACGTTAATACGAATTGTGTTGAAGAAATTTTGTATTTCCACGTGCATTTATTTCTGTGCGTAAATAAAGAGAAAGATTGTCATGGTTAGTTTTCATGTGTCAAAACGAATGGAAACGTCTTTGCGAACATGTTTATGTGATTCACACAATGTCTAATGGAATAAGTGCAATAAAATTGGAAATTTTCTACCCAATTTTGTCCTTTCAATTTCTTTACTTGAGCGAAATGGCTTATTTTTCGTTTCGAAAAGAAAAATTGAAACATTTCTGTTTTTGAAAAAGTCCAATTTTGAAAAATGATTTCTTTAAATTTCGTTTTAGACAGAATGCGTTCCATATATCACTTTAGATGAAACAATAGCACATTTGACAGAATTGAGCGCACCCATTTTGGTTGGTAGTGTGGAGGCTACTTGCTGTCAACTGAATCGATGTCACATTCTTTACCTTCTCAAATTCTATCACAATGGTACGTGTTTATTTCGATGCTGTGAATAAAATCGAAAAAAATTCAAATCATCCATCATTAAAATTCTAAAAAACATATTCAAATTGATGGAAATGTGTTTGAATTTAACAAATTTACTAACATTTTGTGAAAATTTTAAATTATTTTCGAAAAAAATTGTAAATTTTGTGACACCCCATTGAAACTAATCTATGATTGTTGTTAATTTTGCAGGGAAAAGTTAAGTGCTCCGAATTGCGTACAAAGGACAAAAAAGAGTTGACCAAGCAACTCGATGAGCTCAAAACTGAACTCCTTGGATTGCGTGTTGCCAAAGTCACCGGCGGTGCTGCATCAAAATTGTCGAAAATGTAAGTTGGTCCACACAAGATGATGGTCAAACATTTGCCGTATGCACACAGCCGTTGAGGTTATGTGCTCGAATTATGCTCATGTTAACCACCACTAACACTTTTATGCAAAACAATTGATGTAATACTAATTGAATTTCTGTGTATTTTCCCACAAACAGCCGTGTTGTTCGCAAAGCTATTGCCCGCGTCAACATTGTGATGCACCAAAAGACCAAGGAAAACTTGCGCAAATTCTACAGAAACAAGCGTTTCAAGCCATTGGACTTGCGACCAAAGAAGACTCGTGCTATCCGCAAGGCTTTGTCTCCACGTGACGCCAACCGTAAAACCGCCAAGGAATTGAGAAAGCTTTCAGTGTACCCACAACGGAAGTTTGCCCTCAAGGCATAAGTGAAAAATCTTATTTTGTTTCGGTTATTGGAGCGCTGATAAGTTTTTTTTTGGATACACAAACAACCAACTGTCATTTGTTTCATCAAAGCAAAAAAATTGAAATGAATAATAAGATTTAAATCAATCTAAAGGAAAGTGTGTTTTATTTTGAAGTGAGAAAAATTTGAATTGCAGGCTTTTCATTGCGAGTTTAACTGTCAATTTTTATAGCATGTGTGCATATAACATTGAATGATACAACTGAAAATTCATTTCAAACTATAATTTCTTCAAATTTTTATTTTAATGCTTTATTTGAACTCAGAAATTCGTAATACAAGCACTTATTGTTAGATGATACAAAGACTGCGTATGAATTGTCACCGTTCGTTGTAAAACTATGCTCAATACCTCCGAAACTAACGGGTGAATTTGGATCACCGTGAACGTACAGAGAAATCCACGGAATTTCCACATTCTGATTGGCGTAGTCTCTAGAAGAATCAAATAGGGAAAACGTCTCATTTTCAGTTCAATATCTTTCATTCAAAACTCGTAATATATACTTGACCTACCTTAATTTCTTAAATATCATCTTAACCAGATTACACGAAAACAAGCCTTTTAATCGAATAATCAACGCACTTCCTACCTCAACGGTATGACCTGAGAATGACCATGTGTTCAAGTATTCCGTAGGTTCCAAATTACAAGAGAGCGCCAGCATTCCCGCATATTCGACTAGTTCATGCGGAGTTGCATAGAAATTGCTTTGCCCATTTATTACAACTAAATCATCACTTTCCGGTCCCAACGTTGGCATTTTCAAACCATACTCAAGTTTTGTCTTGCATTCCGTTTGCTTTAATTCCACATCGTATCCCGAATCTGAAAAATATTTAGCAATCGATGATGGACAAATTGCTTTCTTCACGTCTTTTTCTCGTGGTGCCTCCCAAGCAATGCGTACTGTGAACGTACCCAGTGTTTCGTTGGACAATGCATTCTGAAGTCGAGCATATTGTTTTGTTGTTGTGGCTAGTTCTGCGCTTTTCAAATTGATTTCAATAGCTGGAAGAGAAGAATTGACACTTATGAAGTATGGACAAAAAAACGTTTTAAGAGTTGCAAAATATGAATTGAACACAAATCAAGTATGAACAAGTATAAACCATATGATGTATTGAATATCAAATCATTTTATGCAAATACAAATTACAAAACAGTATTAAAATTAAAACAGTTCTTCGGTTGTAGTTTGAAACCTTTTCGATTCAAGATTTAAGTCTATATTATTGGTCTTGACAAATGTTTTGAATAGTTGTATATCATCTTCTTTGATCAAGTTCCATCCTTCGAGTTCATTGAGATGGGTAAGTTTGGGACAAATTTCAACGAATTTGTATGCCATTTGTATGGTTAAACCATCCGATTTAGGGATGCTCAATTCTTCCAAGTGTTCCATCGGGTTGCGAGATAAAACGCGTTCAAAAAGTTGATCAGTTGTTGGCACCATCATACCACATTTGATCATTTTGATGCGTAGACATGTCGACCACAAAAATTCCAAATGGCGATAATCACACTGTGCGATCACGGTCAGTTTTTCCAAATTCATAAAGGGCGGTATTGCCGGTTTTTGAAGGTAAAGTGATGTGCTTTCAATCATTTCGCAATTGTAAATGGTGAAAACTTGTAAATCGGGACAATATTGACTAATGTACATTAGAGCATTCATATCGATTTGATCTACGTGCTCTAAGTGTAGATGTGTCAAGTTACAACCCTTCACCGCAAGCACATCACGAACTTGATCACTGAAAAAATCACATGACAACAAATGAAGCACGGACAATTTATTGACGCCAATGACAGCGGTGAGATCACAAATCAACATATTGAAAAAGATTGAGACGAATTGCATCTCCGGACAGTATTCAGATATGATTTGCAAGAATCGTGTGGTCACATAGCGGCTACAGAATTTCTTCAAGGCAAATTTATTAATGTTGGGATAATTATCAACAATAAACTCTAAACAGCGCCCGATTTCATCAAACTGACCAATATCTTCTAGTTTTTTCAGGCCCAACAACAGTTTGACATACCCTTCCAAAGAGACTGAAGTACGATGCAAATTCACGTATCGAAGTGATGGCATTCGAAGCAACAGGTTCACACTGTCATTCGTTACTGCTTTTGATGATGACAAATCAAGGCAGGTCAATCGAGGGCACTTTTCGATCAATTTTAGCAATAAATTATCAGTGCAGTCGTAGTTTAAACTCAAGTATTGTAAATTTTGCATGTTATCTAACCCCAACATAATTGTCGGCTCCATTTCGTCCGACTTCCAGCCCCCAGTCAACGATCCCAAATTCAAAAACTCCAATCCCTTCAGATCTTTGAGCCGCATATAAAATATGGTTTGCAGTACTTTGGGTGTCTCTTCAAAATTGTGATATGTCAGATAAGGGCCGATTATAGTTTCAACGAGTGACACAGCCACATTAACTTGGCTCATTAGTTCGGTTTGTGATGTTTTTAAACTACGTCGTTGTTTGATGCGTTCGACCATCTTTGGTATTTCTTGAAACAAGAACTTTCGGAGCCGATCGAAAAGGAAACAAGGCACATTGTACTCGAACATGTCATGTAAAATAGCGATGCGTGCTCGTAAGATTTCATGCAGCTGCTTTTGTGTGATGCTATTTCTGCGATTATCATCTGTTGATTTTGCAGATGATTTGCGGCGACGACGACGAGCAAGCTCTCGAATTTGTTCGAAATCATCCAAAAATTCGATGTCATCTTCAATATACTCATCCTCACAGCCATTCAAATCCAATGAATCCATATGGAAATCGGGTAGTACCAGTTCGAATGCTTTTGAGTACATCGGTATCAATTCTTCGCCTAAGTTACGAACGTATGCAGTGACTGCTCGCATCGCGAGCGTTTCAAGACTTTTCACTTGCTTGTATTGTGGCATATTTTGTTTGTCTCACGCTATAAAGCAAGAAGAAACGAATTCATATGACATGCCCACAAACAAAGAACTGCTAAATTTTTTGTTTTAATGGTAAATTGGTTATTTGTATTCTATCTGATTGAATTGAATTGATTGATTTCAGCCAAAAATGTGTGTGCACCAAATAATCAATTTGTCTTGTCTACTTGATTTGAATTAATGGACAAAACTTACAGTAACGATTTCGATGTATTTTTGCGAATGGTGAAGGTTTTCCTTGAATTCCGAGTCTGTGGTAAGTATCTTTTGTGATCGATAGATAGAAAATTCCCTCTGGAGTGATTCCAAAGCAATTATCCACGTCAATTCGAGTATCAACTGATAAACCGTAGAATTGACCTGCGTAAAGGAAGACAATTTGATATACGAAATTCGAATGACACAATGAACAATTGTCGCAACTGACCCTGTTTGACAAAGGCTTCGATAAAAGGTTTCTTTATGAATTCCGTCAATGGCACGGCGCTGATGTGGTAGTGATCAGTGTCTCTCAAAAGTGGTAAAATTGCTTCTGGCACTGCCTTCGTATCCGGCAAAATGATGCTAATCTGTAAGAAAAACAATGAAAATAATAAAAAATTCCCCCAACAAATGAACTATTACGTCTTTGTGTCGATCAGCTCCCGTACAGTAAATATCGCCGCCTTTATATAATTTCTTGTCTGTCGTGCAAGAGCCGATTTTGTAATATATTTTTAAGTATGTCGTCTGTTGGCAAGTGATAATCAGCAATTAGAAATGTAAATACTAAATAGATCGGCCTAAAAGTCTTATGAGTATAACCGAAGAGCAACAAGCAGAATTAGTGTGTGTATCGTCGAACAAAAGATTGTCTTGACTACAATTTTTTTGCTGCGTACCTATTGAGTAAAGCGATCAAATGGTGATCTTTCATTTGGTCGATCTTTTTTTTCTTGCTCTTGTTTTTCATCGTAATCTATTTATATCATAAAGTGTATGTGTTAACAGAGCAGTGGCAACGGACGCGCAAATTCGTTTTCGTTTTTATGAGAAGGAGAGAAAAAACATGAAGAGCATAGCATCTGCCAAGTCACCGCAAACAACACGAAAGCAAAAAAGAGACAGAACCATGCAAATTGATTTCAATTGAGTAAAAATAGATGAAAAAAAGTACCAGATCGGCTGATAATTTTTTTAAAATCTTATTTACGAGTAGATGCGCATTGGATGCAAATCCAATGTAAACATTTATTTATATTGGACTAAAATTCGAAAGAAAAAAAACAGAAAAAATCACCAGAAGAGAAATGTCTTAGTCTTACCACTCGATTGAACGGATGACTGTGGATACGCTTGCAGATTTGTTTCTCATGTTTTTCATTCGATTCACTGTATTTGTATGCGATTTGGGTGTTTGGTGAATCGAACGACCAAACATTTGGTGCAAACATTTTTTTTCAAGTTCTTTCTTTCAACCTTTCGCTTGTTTACGTCTTAATTATATCCACCAGAATGTCACGATGAGTAATTTTGGACACAGAAAAAAACGCATTATTTTCGTCAACAACCGCTCTTTTTTTTTGCTTCGTATTTTTGATCGATTTTATTAATAAACTGGTAGCACACGGTGCGTTTCGGACGTAAAATAACAAAATACACAGATTATTTGTTATAGCGAATGGTTTTGATTCATGCGCCTGTGACTGACACAGAACTGTTGACAGTCTTGAACTGAACAATGATTACAGTTTTCGGTGACAGTTATGTCAAAAGCAACATCAATGCACGTGCTTACCGGCTACAGTAGAACTGCGCGCAATTCAATATTCTAACTATTTTGACACATTCAATATCACGCACAGAAGAACAAAAACCTTTTGATTTATTTGCTATCCGTATTTTATGAAACACGATAAATTTGAGGAAAAAATTTCGGATATTTTTGTTTAAGGTGAACCATTAACTAATAGAAAAAAAAAGTCTGCTGGAAAGGTTATTTGACATTTTCAACAAAAGGTGCATGTGTCATAAAACGAGCAACAACTCTGTTGATAAAGACAAATTACAACAATAGGATTGCATCATGAATATTGGGGATATTTTTCCAAATTTCACAGCAAACACCACAATTGGTGAAATTGATTTCTACAAGTGGTTGGGAGATTCGTAAGTTTTTTCTCAATTTTTAATGTTAGGAAAATATTTTATGAATGGAATCATTTTCTATTTGTTGCAGATGGGGAATTTTATTCTCTCATCCGGCGGATTTTACTCCTGTTTGCACTACTGAACTAGCTCGTGTTGTTCAACTGTATTCGGAGTTTCAGAAACGAAACATCAAACCGATTGCTTTGTCCATTGACTCAGCTGAATCTCATCTCAAATGGATCCCTGACATTAAGGCCTATGGAAACATCGATCAAAGTACAGAATTCCCATATCCAATTATCGACGATCAAAATCGTTCATTGGCTGTTAAATTCAATATGTTGGATCAGGATGAAGTAAATGCAAATGGAATAGTTTTGACATGTCGTGCAGTGTTTGTAATCGATCCAAACCATAAGTTGCGACTATCTATCCTGTATCCGGCGTCATCGGGACGTAACTTTGAGTGAGTTGGAAAAAGCCAAATATTCTATTACAAAGAGTATCTATATATTGATATTTAAATTTGTTCACAGTGAAATTTTGCGAGTTATCGATTCAGTTCAACTGACCGACTCACACAAGGTGGCTACACCGGTCGACTGGAAGGTATATATATATCATATAATTGCATACTAATTGTCTTCATATTCATGCTAAATATAATAGTTTGTAATGAATGGTAATGTTCTCCAAATAGGTCGGCGATAAATGCATGATTCTGCCAACAATCAAAAATGAAGATTGTCCTGCTATTTTTCCAAAAGGCTTCGAAACAGTCGAGGTTCCTTCGGGCAAATGCTATTTACGTATGACACCATATCCAGCAGCCCAGTAAATACATAAGAAAGAAACATCTCCATTTTATAAACCAACAGCGTATTTTTTTTTTTCAAATAAAGGATATTCAATTCATTTGATTTGATGTGACTGATTTTGTATTAATTTTTCATCTAGATTAGTTGTCCAGCCGTTGCGATGAATTTCGACTTTATTTTAGACATTCGAAATACGTACAATGTGACACATTACGATTTTCAGCATAGATATTATATTGTTGAAACTGACAGTTGGTCGCTGTCGGTGTTGATAACTAACCAATACAGCCGAGTATACTGTGTTCATTTAAACTTTAATTTGTTTACGTCTCTGTGCTGAGCATAGTACAAAAGTGAATTTTGCTCAATAGCTGAATTTTTTCTTTTATTTATTCAACGCTAATATTTTCATTGGATCTCCCAATAATTTACCAAAACAAATCGTAAGTTTATCCAAACTGAAAATGTACCAAGTTGTTAGTGCATTGAATCTCGTTTAGAAAGTTGATCGAATTCATTGGTCTAAAGGTCATTTGGCACCACACATGCACAACTAATGCAAAACGGCATTGAAACCAAAATCGTTATGACTTGTCTTTTTTCTATATCTTTTTTGCAGTTAGCAAGTTTCTATAAAAATCGTGCATCAAAAAATGTCTGAGCAAGAAGCGAATTCAAACAAATCAAATGTTCCATCACCAATCAAATATTTCCTATCAGGAGGATTTGGAGGCTAGTATCTTTTTAACCGTTTCAACGCTATTTTATGGTCCAAAATTGTGTTTTCTATTTGTACGTTCTTTCGTTTACAATAGGTATCTGTACCGTCATCGCTGGCCATCCCCTGGATACAATCAAGGTAACAGTTTTTTTTTATCTGTTTTAATTGAACACTCTCAATATTTATATTCGATCTATTTTTAGGTTCGATTGCAAACAATGCCATTACCGTCCCCTGGTCAATTACCGCAATACACCGGTACTTATGATTGTGCACGGAAAACCGTTCAGCGAGAAGGATTTCGTGGGCTATACAAAGGTTCGTTACATTTATTCTCCCATTAAATGTTGTATTGAAATGTACTAATTGTTGATTCAATATACATAAATTAGGCATGTCAGCTCCATTAACGGGTGTTGCACCCATATTTGCAATGAGCTTTTTCGGCTTTGGATTGGGTAAACGTTTGCAGCAGAAGACCCCGGATGAACAGTTAACAAATACACAGCTATTTGCTGCAGGTGCCTTCTCTGGTATTTTCACGACATCAATTATGGCTCCGGGTGAGCGCATCAAGTGTTTGCTTCAAATTCAACAAGGTGGCAACGCACCGCAAAAATATAATGGCATGGTAAATATAGATCTACGACAAATTAAACAATCCTGCTAGAGTGCGACTTTAATATATTTACACATTGTCTAAATGTGAATGTCTGTTGACACCGATGTCAATTAGCTTCAAAGGTTGTTTTCGAGTTGTTGACTTTAGACTTAAATATCATAATTGACATGGATAGAAAACAGAGAGAGGCAAAATATTCTTCTACACCAAATATTCTTCTGTTCTAGGTGGACTGTGCTAAGCAATTATACAAAGAAGGTGGCATCCGCAACGTTTATAAAGGCTCATTCGCTACTTTGCTGAGAGGTAAGACATGACCATTTTCTGTTGGGAAAGTTTAACATTTCTAAAGAACGTCTTTTGAAAATCCAATTGGAAAATCTCATGAAATAATAAGAGTATGTGTTTGGTAAAGGAACAATACTTTATTTAAACTGTACAATTAGTACATTTTTTGGGTTGAATGTGAAAAATTGCCTATACTATTAGGAGTTAAAACTATAAATCATAAGCGATGTTATTTGAATGAACTTGTTCGTGAATAACTTCTGTATTTTGCGACATCGTTCGCTTCGCCTTGTTCTCGAATTGCATTTTTCGATTCTTTTTACTACTCCATTGCTGAGCCGACCATGAAGTTTGTTGTTGATTTAACTTGTCTGATCGCGTGAGTTTTTCCATCGTACCCATTAATTTGTTCTGATCCCGTTGTTTTTTCAATTCGTTCTTATTTAATTTAATCATTGGCTGTGAACATTTGATGCTGTGACGCAAAACATAATAAACATTCTGTGGCTCTGGACTGGATGAGCTAGAATCGTTACAAACTGGCGTAATTTTACTATCAAACCCATAGGAATACTGTGGAAAATCATCGAATTTTGCATCACAATATACAATTTGACCGTTTTTTGGATTGCGAATACAGTTTTGATCTCTACGCGATGTCTTTTTATTCAGCCGTACGCTGTTTGTAACTGCTTGCTCCCAGTCAACCATACCACATGAACAAACCCAAGGATTATCGATCAACCGAACCAGTTTTAGAGATTTAACTGCAAAAAAGCTTTTTGGCAAATATTCCAAATGATTGTTATGTAAGTAAATCTCTTGCAATTGTTTCTGTTCATCGAAAACGCCGGCTGGAATCAGTGATAGTTGATTATGTGATAAATCAATGATACGCAAATCTTTTATACCAAAAAATGCATCCATTGAAATGTCAGAAATGTCACAACCACTAAGAATGAGCTCTTTCAATTTTGGCATTTCAGAGAAGGCATCCATCTCGATCCTTTCGATCTGACCTTTCATTCGCAATCGTTCCACTTCTTTCAACCCACTGAAAATCGTTTGATGCAAACTCGGTGATTTCACATTTAGTATGTTCAATGTTTTTAATTGATCAAGAGACAAAAAAGCACCGTTCGTATTGGCCAGATTAAGGGCCATCGATTTGGAGCCTATGATCAGTTCCTTTGTGGTGTTTAACACCGCAAACGTCATTGGCAAAATGAACTCGATTGGATTGTTCTGTAAGTCGATCGACTTCAAGCTTGGAAATGGAGGGAACGTTGATTCAGATAATTTTGTCAAATTATTCGATGATAAATCCAAATGCTCGAGGTCAAGTAAACCAGCCAGGGCCAAGTAATGCAAATCCAAAATATTATTCCAAGCCAGTGATAGTGTTTTCAAATGTAATGCACCGTAAAATGCGAACGGTGGAACCACTTTGATTTCATTGTGCTCCAAAGATAAATGTTGCAGACTCCCAAGACTGGCAAACGTCTGCCATTCAACTTCATCCAAATGACAGTTGTGAATGCGTAGCACTTCCACATTGAGCCAGCCGAAAAAGTTTGGTTGCATTGATTTGGTCAACTCCATTTTATACACCTCATAAGGAACAATCTCGATTTCATCCTCAATGTCAGCCTCATTTGATTCATCTTTTTTATAAGCTAATCGTTCACCGTCGGGTGTATAATCATATGTTTCCGACGGATGTTGAAGTTTGATACTCTTTTTTATCTTCTCATCGGCAATTATTTTGATTGACTCGAAATTCACGTGTTTCAACGTTGGCATTGGCTTGTCAATAAAATATTCCAAACTACGGCTAGATCCCGTACTTCGAATTTCCAATATCTCCAAATCTTCAAACTGTAGCAAATCGGTTGACGAGACTATGAATGTGAAAAGCAATAGTTAGATTAAATTATCTCGGATCTATTTTCAAATTATGCGTGCGCACCTGTGATATTGTGATTTGCATTGCCATTGTGTAGTAGTACTAGTGCTTGCATATCTTGCGGCAAAGAAACAACTAAATCCTTCGCAATCACATCACCTTGAAGCATGCACATCACGAATTTCACATAGGGATTCCTCAGATGGCTTTCGTCATTCTCGAAAAAGGCCTTAAATCGTAACAAGAAGAACATTTAAAAGAGAAAAGAATTCAAATATTGTTGGTAAATTATCGTTTTACATCATTAAAAATGCCACCATATGCGCGCTCGGTCTCCTTTTGGTTGTTTTCAACATCTTCCCGACGCAGCCCTTGTATCCAACGTGACACCGATAAGTCCATGAATGGAGAACGTTGACAAACACACTGATTTGGACAAAACATATGCATATCCTCCCACGTGTCGCCATCGCCATTGTCACCAACAACTACTTTCTTCAAACAAACGAAAATAAAGCAAATTATCAAAAGAAAGCATTCAATACATTAACAGATTGGGTGCTTCTGAATAATGAAAAAAATCCTTATCAAATGCATTTCCAATTGAAACTAATTATAGTTCGATTGTTCTGCTGTGCTACGAATTCACTCGAAATTTACTTTTAAAATCACGAGAAAAAAAATGTGACAATAGTAACAATGATTTTTGAAGCATTCCACAATATCGAGGAAGTACGTTGTACGACAGACTGTTGATAAATTAGTTATTTTAATGTGCTTTAATGTGAATACATTTCCCTGTGATATGTTTGCTGATAAACTCGTACACGAATCACTGAGAATGAAAATGTCATTCATTTTTAGCAGACACAGAAAAATTTCCATTTTTCTTGAAATTGAGAAATTTAATGGAAATAGAAAAATACAAATCAAGTATAAATCAACAATTTGGCAGTATTAAATAGTTTTTTCTACACACACTGTAAAGAACTTATTTTCACACCAGCGTGTTATTTTCTCTTTAAACTCATTACAAAACAGACATTGACAATCGACAGTCACATGGCTTATGTAGTCAACGACTTCTTTCGAAATATAAATAATAGGAAAAATATTCATGTCGTGCCGTTATCCAATGATAATAATGTGAAACATTCTTCCCAACTTCAGTCAATTTTTTCATACAACAAATACGCTTTCGGATAAAATTGAAATTCGCTTAGAAAAACGATGTGTGTGCCATTTTGATTCTCAGTAATTCATTAAGATTACGAACAATTTAGACTCAAATTCGTGAATATGAACTTTGATCACGATTTCTCCCTAATCCTTAGAAAAGTTGCACCAATAATTCACTTATGAGATGTGGATGTGGAAAAAATTGTTCATTTAATTCAGCACGCCCTTAAAAAAAAAAAAATTCACTGAATACTGCACTTACAAACAGTATTAAAAGAATAATCCAGCTTGTCAAAGTCATTTTGAATAATTCTTGTTCAAACAATTTTGAAAACACCGTATTCACAAAAATCACACCATTGACGGTGTACTTTATAATTCAACAGTAAAAACCGAACTAAAACAATCCAACGGATCTCTGTAATAAATGTCTGGATTTCCTTTTCTCTGATTCTTTTTCTGTGAATTTCGTGCTATTTGCTCGATACGACGGCAAGATATATAAATTAAAATGGACATACGAGTATGGAACAAAACGAGATCGGAAGGAAGTCAAAACTACAATCGTACAAAATTGTTGTATTTTCTAAATCAAATATGGCAAGACGTACTGAAAATGTGTTGGTGCACGTTGTACACATGCAAAATCATACATTGCAACATGACTGTGTGTAAATGTGGAATGGTTTACTGAAAGGATGTTGTTATCGTATTTCATATTTTACGCACGATAAACAAAACCCAAGCGTTACTCCATATATTCTTCACGTTTCGCTTTTATGTTGGGTATTCTATTTTGTTCAGTCGCAGCATCACAATCACGTTTTACTCAACAGCAAATTTGTAATATTTCACATTCGTTCCAATGGAACTGAGCAGGATAATTTCATATATTTTTTTTCTATTGTGTTTGTTTACAGATGTGCCAGCCAGTGGTTTATATTTCTTGACTTACGAGTATGTAAAAGATTTGGCAGCCCGGGAATTCGGTACGGAGGGAAGTCTTGCATTGATTGGAACTATTTTTGCTGGTGGTTCTGCTGGTATTGCTAATTGGGCAGTGGGTATGCCTGCCGATGTACTAAAAAGTCGCCTTCAGACTGCCGCTCCTGGCACCTATCCAAATGGCATTCGTGATGTTTTCCGTGAATTGATGCGTAAAGAAGGTCCATTGGCGCTGTACAAAGGTGTTACACCAGTGATGTTAAGAGCTTTTCCAGCTAATGCGGCCTGTTTTATTGGTTTCGAAATTGCCATGAAGTTCTTGAACTACGTCGCTCCAAATCTTTAAGTCTTGATTTTTGTTTACACCATCGATTTCAGTTGTGGGGTTACTTTAAGTAAACACATATTCACGCAGTCAGTCATATGAACTTTTTTTTCTTTCAAAGTGAGAAAAATTAAAATGCTGCTTGGTTATTGAAATGGATTTGAAACATGTATTTTTTGTACTGAACAAATTTCTTGAATATTCTTTGTTATCAAATAAATGCACATACAAATTATTAGTGTTTACATTGTCATTAAATTATTCCCTATAAGCTAATGAAGTGATTGGTTTTTGATGACCGATGTATTCGAGTTCAACTTCGCCCGTTTCAATGTTCCACAAGCGAGCCTTAGCGTCGGATGAGGCTGAAATAGAATCAAAATGGATTAAATCCGTTCATATTCTGTGAATAGAGAGGAAAAGAGCGGGAGAGAAAAAAATTTCCTTTAAATTTTACCTGTAAACAACCTTCTGGAATCAGCACTGAATGTAGCATCCCAAACCCAAGCGTCGCATTCAATGTCAAATGTACGATACAGGGTAAAATCAGGTGTTTTCCACAGTTTAGCTGTGGAATCACCGGCGCATGTGACAAGATAACTAGAATCGGGACTAAATTTGCACCGCAGGGCATATCTCTTGTGGGCCTCTATTTTTTGCTTCGGCTGTAATGTGCTCAAGCTTGTGTCGCTGCTTGAGCTCAAGTTCCAAATGTAGCAGTTTCCTTTGTTATTCACTGCAGCCATAAAATTTCCGTCATTACTTATGGCTACATCCTGTACACTGGCTTCCACCTCGGGCACGCACTGTTCATGTGCATCCGATTTTACATCCCATAAATAAACACGACCGCCTTGTGAACCAATCGCCATTTCTACTTGGTTTGGGTGCAGTGCAACCGCATTAATCGGTGTTTGACAGTCAAAGGCACGCTTACAAATCTGCGTCTTCATATCCCAGATGCGAACGCGGCAATCTTCACCACTACATTAATGGAAAATTTATCAGTTTCACCAGATGAATAGCATTATATATTATTATATCAATTTATTCAGTTTTACCCAGTATACATCCAACGGCCATCTTCTTGCACTCCTACACCTATTAAAATTAAAGTTAGGATCAATATGAATTTTAAGATTATGTCCAATTATTCGAGGAAAATTGTAAGAGGAATTTTTTTGTTACGGGTTATATTTTTGGTGACTCCCTCCAAATTCATTATTGGTGTGCTTGAAACCATATCATACAAACGAATGTGTTGATATCCTCCGGCTATAATCAACGATTTGTCCGGTGTTACTTCTAATGCATTCACTTGCTGGAATAGAAGAGTGAAAAATATAAATCATTCACAAATAGAATGCCAGTCGCTTTGAAAGTTAATAAATATTTACCGAATCTGCGTGCTGCATACTTTTGATACAATCTTTTGTTTCAGCTCTCCATAGCTTTATAGTATGGTCGTATCCTCCTGTCGCCAATATTATTTGATTGTTCATTTCTTGCGAACAATTTTCTCTTCTTTTCGAATAATAGCTCTGAATGAATAAAAAAAAAAGACTTTGTGCGAATTGTGGATTAAGATACTTTGAGATCTCACAAAAATATGTACATTTTATTACGAAAACACACACTGTTTACTAAAAAATATTGTGTTTTCCGCTGGCTAGACTTTGACACTGACGTTCAACACACTGCAGTTGTTATCTTTTACTTCGACATGAACTGTCATTCAGAATTTGACATAAATCCAAAACCGTATAATTTCATTTGAAACCTTTCAGAGGGCGTTTTTATTATTGAATCCTATCAATATTCACTTACAGTAGCTTCATTTTATTATTATTTCTCAATTAATCGCAGCATTAGCCAATTATTTCAAAGAGTATTCTTTGAATTAAACATTTTTCTTTAATCAATTGAAATTTCCTTCGCGTTCGAAATTAAAAAGGGATTATTGATATGTTGAGAAATCGAAACTCCAAGAAAATTTAAAGAAAATTTGACATTGCGACACAATCACTTTCGTAGCTTTGTTTGATAAACTGCAAACTGTTCAAATGTTAATAATTCCTGATAGACTGATCATTTGAAAAAAAAAATCGTTACTATGATTTGACACACAGATATGATTTTTGAACGAATGTAGGCTGGATTTTTTTTTCAAAACAATTAAAATGTGCCTTACAAAGGCCTATGATTCATTGATAAACCAAATTCCTGCATGTTTGATATTATCAAATTGATAAACATTGTAATGTAATCGTGTTCTTTACACGGTATGAATCACAAAAAGCGGCATACAATTTCTCAGAATAAATCCAATCAAAGTTCCTTGCTATAGCGTGTATTTAAAATGCATAGCCACTTGATCGACTGCTTAATGACATAAGTGATTATTCACCGATTGGAAATGAAACAGAGAAATATGAAGGAGCCAAATCATCTTCATACCAATTCGGGTACAACTTCAAACACTTGCGTTCTAGCCAATACATTTGCCCACTTAACTTGCGTATATACAATTCATCGTCATTCCGATACACGAGAATGTCGTCGGCGGCATCATCGTTTCAGCATCATCGACCCAGCTCCGTTTTTCTAAATGTGTTTGATGAGAACTTATCGCGCACCATACACACCGTGCGTTGTTGGTTAATGTGCGAACTGTATCGTAGATAAATGGCCAATACAGTAACAAAAAAAATGAAGAAAAAAAATGAATTCACACGCGAATCTTTTCGTCTGCGATCAGTTCACTGTAGACTTCGGTTGTTAAATCAAGTGTCCCGTATTGTGCGCGTAATATTTTTCAATCTTTTCCACACCATTTTCCATTTTCATTTTCAACCGCATTCGATGTGATTCGGTTGAATTCGTCGTGTCATTCATTGCCTGTTTGTATTTTGTTTTTTTTTTGATGTCATCAAATTATAAAGTCCATAAAATAAATGAAAGAATCTATATCGGGTGTCATGAATTTTCCCGAAAACAAAGTTTTACGTCGGTTATTTCAAGCGTGCAGTGGATTTCATTCGATAATTTAATATAGCATTTGTTGAATCGACATCAAGTCTCGATCAACTGGAGCGCTGAATACTTTTCATCACCTCAATCAACGGAGATACGTTTTCGGAAATGAGATGAGATGGCTAGACGTCGGCTGTGTCGGCGAAAAAAAAACGTGGTTTTATTTTGTTGATGTCGCCGTTGGCAAACGATCCCAAAATAAATTTCGGTCGTTCGAATTCAATATTTTTGTACGATGTCGCTTGTTTTATATTTAACGAACTGTGAATGGTTTGAATATATATGTATATATGTATGTGTATCTTGGATGTGGTGTGAACGTTTATGTGTTTGTGTATCTTGCAGTTTTTCTCCGACTTTATCAACGATTTTTTCTCGATAATCAGTGATATAATGTCTAGTTCCAAACATTGTAAATGTTTCCCTTGAAACGCTTCATTTGTTTGTGGCCATAAAAGAGAAATCCATTCGTAGCAAGAAATCATGGGCCAATATGTAGTATGCAAAATGCTTAGATAAGTGATGTTGAACACTTTCATTAGATGAAAAACGTATCGCATGAATAATGAGCGTGCACCATGCATACTTGATGTTTGTTTCTTTTATTCCGTATTGAACATGCATATGGTCGTTTGTACAATGTGAAAATCATCACTTGTTCATCATTGTTGCTGATTGTGAGCTCATCAACGTTCGAACTGGCTGGTTGGCTGACGGCGAGACGACTGCAATAAAAAAGCTAAACAAAAAAAAAACATGAACAGCTATGGCAATTGTGCATGCAATTGAGACCCATCACATATTACAGATCAGCATAGCGATCATGACTCTTGTATTTTTTCTCGTGAACAATTGCAATTCTTCTTTTTTCGATTCTGTTGTGTTATTTCATTAAGAACTATGAGGAAGGTTTTTTTTTCTCGGCACACGTTGGAAAGAGAACGACTTACTAATTATCATGAATACAAAATCAAATTGACTTCACTCATGAGATTGCAGGCGAAAACAAAAGCATTCCATTGTTCACTGATTCTGTGGAATTTATCACTTGATTGAAAGTTCTGGTTTTTCGACGCAAAGGCTCATTAGATTGATTTGCATTTGCCACTTGATCAATTCTTGAATTAACTCAGCTGAAATGTCATACTCACACATTTCCTGTATGAATCGAGCAAGGGAAGAGAAAGAGCGATTCTGTATGTAGCATCGATTTGACATTTTAAACACATTCAATTTATCAGTGGAAATTTTCGCTGTCATCGACTTTTTATACACGCACCCAATGACAATATTGCACATAGTTTTCTGCTGAGTAGTGAGATTGTATGTGTTTATGTCAGTTTGTGTATCGGTTTTGGCATTAGCCTTTGCTCGTTTGAATGTATTTAGCTAAGCCAGTATGATGTTAATAGAGAGCAGATAGATTTTTACTTAATGCCACTATGTGCTCTCTCGTGCACCCGAGCTATGTACCCGAAACACACTGCAAAACATCACATCGCACACAGACTGAACCAATTCACATCGAAAGAGAACTATTACTAATTATGCAGTTTAGGTGAACCGATTTGTTAGAGTCAATCGTATTTAGTGTACCGTAAGCAAGCGACAACAACACATTATTACGAGATTTGTGTGACATTAAAAAAAAAATCAAGTCATTTTCATCGATGTATTTATCATTCGATAATCTATCAGAGTCGGTGGTCGTTCCGTACACAAGTATCTGCTAATTCATTTGATGTCTGTTCCCATTATTTTACATTCGGATGTTGATACAAATGATAATTTACATTACAAACTCTTCGTGTTTACCATCTGAATAAATAAAAGTGATTTTCGCCGGGCTAAAGTCAATTGTTTAAACAAATAAAGAAAAACGTTAGCCGAAAAATATGTCGATTCGATTGAAACAAATAAGCTGACGTAATTTCATTGAGAAATCCGAAAAAAAACTCGATGCGAGTACATTGCTCGTTCGGCCAAATGTATTTCTGACATGTCAAAATTCTAGTTAATTTCGGAATGTTCCCGTATCGAAACCGAAACAAACCAATAAAAAAAAACCACGAGCAATTAGCAAATCATGTCATTGTTTGAGATTTTATGGTAATCAGAATTCGAATCGTGTGTTTTATGTATAAAGTGAATTGAACGTGTATGTCAAGCAGTATATCGTAATTGATATCGATATGACAAGTGCTGTAAACGTCTAAATTAGATAATTAAGCAATTCTACTTGCTACTCGAGATTCGAGAATTAAGTTCAAACGAAGCAGAACACAAACTGTCTCTCGTACGAGTATTCGATGAGTGAATGAGTGAGGTTGTGTGCGCGTATACGTGAGACAGAGCAAGACTGACTGTGTGAGTGAGTGAGTGAGTGAGATACTAAGTGTTTATCGATAATTGAAAACGCATTGCTTTTATATACGAGCAAATTGATCGATATCGACTAATAGTGAGATAGAAAAAAAAATACGTAAGCAAAGTAACAACAACGATTCAGAATAACTGCTATGAAAAGTAGTCCTACAGAAACAACCATAAGTGAACAGCAACGAGCAAAAAGGAAAGAAAACAACCGAAGAGAAAGAAAAAGCAACACACACCGAGAGTGCAATTAACAGTATCGAATCATTTTCATTCTGCGAACAACGATTATTGTCCGTAGAACGTGATATTTGTAATTTATCAAGTGATCTCTGAATCAAGCCATTGGTGACGACAATCAACTGTCTACTTTGACGAAATGCAAATTGAACTCGTTGCCAGCTTGAAAGAAAGCCCCCTTGTTTTGTCTGTGTGTGCCTTATATATATATGATTAATGGTGTCGTCTGTGTATTAACTGGTGAACGCGCACACATGTGTGAAAATGCAAGATTGAGAGAGCGTGAGTGAGTTCGATTTATGTAATTATTTCGTCTATTGTAGTTCTCTCTTCGTGATTATGACTATTTTATGCATCGTCAAACTGTCTGAGAGAATTCTTCTCATGATTTTCACACAATCAATAGAACAAAAATAGAAATTGTCTGTCAACAAGGGGATCGGCATGATGACGCAAAAATTTCTTTTCTCGATTCAGGCTCATCGATCAACAATTAATGCTAAATTTGGCACAACAGTATAGAGGGCAAATTGAAAAACACGTGACACATACAAACACCCAATACATAAGCTAAGTGACAAACGACGAATCGAACGATTTATTCCGAGATCCGAGGGAGACAGAATATGAAAAAATTCGATAAAATTACGAAGAAAACTTTTTATTTCGATTAAATGTCAATCTAAAAACCGAACGATTTGGTTTTGTTTATTCGACATTTTGCATCTGTGAGTACTCACACTGCGAAAAGATAGAGAATTACGAAAGAAACATCGCGCGCGAGCGCTCGCCGACAAACATACGATAAGAAGCGTATAAACGCGTGCGCATACAAAAATACACAAGGAAGTGTGTATTAATTTTAATCGACGAAAATTAATTGAAAAAAAAATATAATAAAAAAAAAGCGAATCGAATTTGGAATCGAGAAAGCAAGCAAATGACCACTAAGATGACTTCAACAACAAGGTACCGAATTTTGGCGGCAGTTTCAATTATAATCTGGTTTGGACTTTTAGCCAGCCTATCGACAGTTACAGCATCCCCGAACATACGGCGACGACACAGTGAACCACGTTTGATCGCCGACGACGAAAAAGACAAAAAAGGAGCGGGTAAGTTAAACTATTTTCATGTTCTTTCGGCTGTTTTATTGTTCAATCTCGTATTGTTAGCGATAAATTTGCATAATGCTCGGAAAACTATCAACGACGACGCAAGACAACAGCCCATATTTATGGGTGATATTAACTTTATTTCGATTTACACGATTAACATCGCGGTGTGCTCTTTTTTTTTGCTTGGGCACTGCGGTACGGTCGGCTGCCTTTTTCTGCTTCGTTCGCATGTTGTTTTTTTTTATTCACAAATTACATTTCACTTTACGACCTCATCAGTACGTTATATGAAGTGGCTGAGTTAAATGCGTTCGAAGCAACACACCGCTAAATAAAACAAGGTGAAAATAATGAGAAAAAAAAGAGTATATACTTTGCCGACAGGTTATCGATACACGGGAACGATAATTGTGTTTGTTGTTGGCAAATTTGTTCCTTGTTGTTGATAATTGTCTTTTAACGATATAGTTTTTTTTTTCCTGTGTTATTTTGCACTCTGCGTGCATTCATGAATGGAAGGTGTGTGTGCGCGCGCGCGCGAGAAGCGGAGTGCAGCAAAGAGAAACAAAAAATTAACCGTTGAATGACGGAGAGAAAGAGTTCATTTCGGTGTGTCGAATGATATGCAAAATGAATGCCATCGATTGATTACAAAGAAAGTGTCCATGTCGCTTTACATCAAAAAGACCAACCGAGACTGATTATTGCGTTTGCGTGTCGATTAATGCGGATTTTTTCTTTACATCGACACTTTCCACTAACTCACAATCTGGTCGGTTACACATGTTGAGGGAGCGAGAGAGAGAGGGAGAGAGAAAATTGAGCAACAACTACTGTACACATGTATTGATGTTCGTCGCACACACAATACATCGCACTTAACACACAACGAGCGTATCTTAACCAGCGGCGGCGTCGCGCAACGAAGAAAAAAATCCACTGCAATTTACCCGAAAATGGAAGCGATCATGATTTCTGCCCGTTTTGGTTGCATATTCGAAGCAGTTTTGCTAAATTTCTTTCGAGTATGTTTGTGTGTGTGTGTGCCTGAAATAGAAGCATTTCAAAACAGAATGCGCGCGCAACAGAAAAACGAAGCTAATAATAAAAAAAAAACACAATTCGCTGATACGATTATGGTGCTAAAGAAAACTACAATCTGTTGTTTTTCTCAATGATAATTTTTGTTTGATCAGCGTGATTGATCGAGAATGTATTTTTTTTTTATCAAAATGAAGTAGCCAAACGTCTCGATATTGTGTTAAGCAATCAAGTTCACGTTATTAGGACGAAAACAAAACGCAAACACATAGAGTAGAGAGAACGAAAAATGTACACAAAGTAAAGTGAAAAAAGTGACTGCAACTACCACTGAAGTATGCAGAAAAAAAAGAAGAAGAGATGAGCATGGGCTGAGTCAGTCGCTGCAACGCATCGAGTGAACAAAAGGTAATCTGAACGTTGGTCAAAAGGTGCGATGAAAGATGAGATGATTAGCAAATAACACATGTTTCAGTTTTTCGATATTTTTTTTAACTCAACCCCACTTGTTGCTCACTATTTAGCCTTATTCAAAGTCATTCGATTAAAATATGGATTTTGTTCAATGTTTTGAGCCGTTTTCATCATTGAACATCGTTGTTTTCATGAAATATGCATTCATATGTCAAACCATTTCACCGCATTGATTTATGGCCCTGGTTTATTTCATCGGCACGCCACACGGCTACTCATAGAAAGTACTTCAATATGTGGACACACCGTACGTTTATTGAACCTTTTGTCGGCCGATTTCATTGACAGCTCAAGACTACTTTCGTTGAATACTCCATAAAAAAATAACTGATTATTATCTATGACTCCAAAGGATTGCCTATCGATAAAATCAACAAAACTATGCGGTTCTCTCGCCTTATCGATAGCGTCGGTAGAGCTGCTTTGCTTCGATGCTCCATTTCTTTCACGCTCTCGATTAACGTTATCGTATGCATTGTTCTTATTCCACCTTAGTCGACATGCGTTTGTCTTCTGTTTACCTAGATCGGAACTATATCTTCCCGGCTCGATTACGATTTGTGTTCGCGTGCTCGGGAGCGCCCGCTGCGACAATGACAACACGAACAGCCGTACGTGTAAACGATTTGTAAATGTGGGATCGGTTGCCGCATTCCCAATGTTCATTCTTAACTTTGGCTTTGATTGTGTTTATTTTGAAAAATGTTTATAACTCACATTGTCTGAACGAAGAAAAAAAAAACATTTAGTAGATATGAATACGAAAATGCACGAAACAGTCGAGCAATGAGGAGTTATTGAGTGTGAGCTGAGCGACAGAGCGGGAGAGATTAAACATAGAATGCGAAGGTACGTACATGTTTACCTATGTATATGTATGTATATCTATATACACGGAATTCGCATTGTGAATGGTTCCGTCACGTGTGTACTCTCCTCCGCACATACAGCCAGTCAATCGTTTCGTGATGTGTGCCCATACTCTCAGCCCACTGTATATGGTCATGTGTGAGTTGTGTGCGCTTGTGTGATACGCTCCGAATGCGTTCCGAAGTGAGAGAAAGAAAAGTCCGTGTCGGCTCGCAACAGAGCTTGAGAACCGAACTTGTTTGCTCGATCGCATTGTATGGGGTTGTTTCAAACATATCGAATCAGTTCATTGAAAGGCACAGCTCCGACTAAGTGTGTACAGAGAGTTTTGTTGGCGTATGCGCATCGCATCCACACAGATCGAGGAAAATCTTTTTTATATATACAAACGATTGAAGATTTCGTTTCAGTCTCACTTTTGATCGCGTATTTTAGCGACGGTGTGTCACAACGAAAAATAATATAAATGCTACAATCGTTTTGAATTTCGTGAAGTGCGTACTTTTATCTCGTCGCAAGTGATGCAAGACTAAATCATTTTCTTTCACCATTCAGGACAATTTTGAATTTGGTATTTTTAGAAATGTGAAATCGCGTTTAATTTCGATTTTTCAATCAATCATAACGTTTATACAATTGTTTTTTCTTCGATATATTCAATGACGTCCGTTTATGTGAGTTCTTCAAACGAGTGACAACTGATCGGTTGCTTTGAACTTCTTTTTGGATATTTTGTTCGTTTTGGTATTGTGAATGAAAAATAAAATAGAACGAAACAGTTCGTGGTTGTGGTATTTTGAGTATAGAATTAAGTGTCAAAAATAAACAGACTGCGCGCGACTGAGACGACAAAATAGAAAAGAGAATACTACAACAAAAAGCCTACGTTTAAATCAAAATAATTCTTTTGGTCTTTGGCTATCACCCAATAAAGAAAATAGAAATAGAAGAAGAAGAAGAAAAAAAACGTAGTACAAAAAAGAAGGAGAAAAACAATCAGACGAAAACAACAAGAAGTTTTACTTTTCTTTTGACAACATGAATGTACCGACAATGAGAATCTGCACGTTTTTTAACGTTGCTCAATTCACTGTGATAAATCTAATGATTATTTTGATATGTCTGAGCTATTCACCGACGGAAGCTCGGAAACAGATGCCATTATTGATTGATGATGATACGCAAAGTCGCTTGAATCGACCGGGTAAGTTTTTATCAAATCCAAATAGTTTTCTTGTGATTAGAAACCGATTTTGCAACCATTTGGTTGGGCTTAATGGATTTTTAAAATAAAATATCTGTAGGATCGAGTAAGTCATGACTCGCGTATTGAAAATTATCAACAAAAAAATGAAAAAAAAAAAAACATAAACCAAGAGAAGATCAACGATATTTTTTGTTAATGAAATAAATAGTTTGAAATTTTGTCGGGAGTAAATTTGTGACTTTCACACATAATCAATCTTTGGAGATATCAAATAAACAAAACCCACCTAAGCAATATAAACTGCAAGAATTAAGTGTTGACAAAACAGAGAATCTTATGAAAATATTTGATCGCACTTGCGCGCGCACACACACACACACACAGTCAATTGGACAAATAAACAACAAAAAATCTAGAACAATGAACTTTTCACAGTTTGAAAACAGAAATATATTGATTGCAATTCAATTAAGTCTCGTGTTGAAGTAACAAGCGTGTTCACCATGTGACCCAATCTAAAAATCATCAGCATAGATCATGACGTTATAAAAACAAGCTGTAAAGCGTCAAATTACCAGCATATCGCCTAATCAATGCCAACTCAAATCAAAATATTTCACGCTCATTTTCATTAGTTCGCCATAAATAATGTATCGGGCTGACTGTTTCTCGGTTCAGTGAATTTTTTGTGCGTCACGTTTTTTCGTTCTGTGCTCATTGAGTGTTCTATTTGAGTTGCCGAGCTCATATTCATTACAAAATAATTAAGTTAAAATCGATGATTTAAACATGAATTTGGCGTTGTTGTTTTCTCCATCCAATTGGTGATGCTTGATTTATATCTCTGGTGGTTCGCATAAAATTTTGGAATCGAATTGTCTATCTTGCCTCACATTTTGCACAATAAACTATATATATATATATGGAGAATCGCTGCTGATATCACGGATCGTTGGATCATGTAAGCAACCAAGCGAGAATGACAAGTCTGTGATATGCTCAATTATTTTGCTTCCAAAATTGATTGGGAAGCATCATCAATTTCGTAGATTGTTGACCATTTTAATCGAATGCATCCACATTTTTTTTTCGCTTAATCAACACATAATTCGATAAATCGTTCCATCAGCCGACATTTATTGCAGCACCACAAGCAAAGTATTCATCGTCCCATCTCAAGATATAATTAGAAGATGTTTTCGTTATGAAAATATGCAGTTTATCTATTTTTCCTGCTTCTGATTCTTTTTGTTTTGTGATGAGTTAAGCAGTGTGCAGACCTGATAATGTTTGCGTGAATATGTTATCTTTCATTTTCTGTGTGTTCTATTCGTTGAGACTGTTTTGAAAAATAAGAAGAAAAAAACATCGGATTTTCCAAAATAAACAAAAAGCACAAAATGTCACGAACAGATAAAAGGAGATGTGAACGTGTTATTTCAAATTGCTTATGACAAACAATAAAACAATACTTATGAATGCACCCAGCCAATATGAGAAGAAATAACGAAGAACAGCAACAACGCATGAGCTGAGTTTACTGACGTGTCATAAAAATCTCTCTATTGTTATCAATGCATTCATTTTGTTTGCGTTTAGTTCACGCATCGTTTGAAGATTTCATCTTTGTGAATCACATGAGCAAAAAAAGAGAGAGAGAGATGGATGGAGACAGAGAAAGGGAGGGAATGTAAGGTATGGAAAACGATGCGAAAACCTCATGATCCCACTAAAGGATCACAAAGAGATTTATTTTTCCAATAAATAGCATCTCTCTTACTTATTCGTATGCGCCGTAACCGAATTTCATTTTTTAGACTTTATTTGAAGTTTGGTTGGTATAATCTCTTTATGATGCTCTTTTAATCTTCTTTTGTTTGGACCGTACTAAAAACAAATTGTAAACGACGTTCAGACTTTACTGTAAAAGCTCCAATAACCGATATTTTATGGCACATTTCTGAGTTTTATGTAGGTGCGTTCCCATGCTTGAACGCTTCAACTAGTCGCTCTGGCTCCTTTCACAGAAGCATTGTGCTACGTGTTGAAGGCTAAAGGTTTTCGGATGAAAATTAATTGCGCCAGATGTTTGAAAAACGAATTTTTTTTTTCTTCGTGTGGTGTTTTGATCTCAACAACGACACCGCATGTTTTGCACACTGTGGCGATTTATTTCCATATCACCATTGGAAACAGAACCTTTCTCTTTCGCACTTTTTTTCCCTCTGAATCATCACTATCCCATGTTTTCTTCCGCCTGCGTTCTTTTCTCAATGAGAAACATGTGGGCGCATTGCCGAAAAGTAAACCGAATTCTATGAATGAATTTAACGCACTCTACCATCGATGCAGAATTTTGAAAGAAAAAAAAATGCAAAACTGCAACACATTCACTCTGGGTGAGTGAACGTGTGAACTACAAAAGACAATATCAGCTAAACCACACATGTTGAACAAACCAGGAGATAAGTACACATAGCCAAGTGAATGACGAATACACGAATGAAAAATGGACAGAAACAAAAACATTTAAAAAAGTAACAAAACAAATGTTTGAAAGTGCGTGTTAAGAAGGCAAAAAAGATAAAACAAAAACGACCAAGCGAATAAGATAGAGATATACTAAGCAGAATAACACATAAAGCTATAAAGAAAGGACCGATGCCAATTTGTCTACTTCTTCATCGCTATGAAACAAAACAAAAAAAAGCAACAATAACAACAACAACAAGCAAACACAATAACTGACGTAAGCCCATGGCTCATACCAAATTTAACTGCATATATTAAAAAAAAAAAACAATCATAAAAAATATGCGTGAAACACTAACACGAACACAGTTTTGCGTCGATGTTCTATGAACACCGATCAAAGATACGTAGCGTTTCTTGCGTGCCATGAATTGCAACTGATTTTATTTCAGCACCCGACCAAATATCTTTGAATGAAAGACGAAGAAAAAAGTCATTGAACAGACAAAAGACATCTTTCATTCAAAAATGTTTGCCCGCCTTTGACTGAGCACAAAGACTCATCTCAAAATGGTAGTGATAGTTTCATTTGTTGCTCTCACCAAACAGTAGTTAACCATATGGGGTCAACAAAATTGAATCAGAGAACAATCAAATCCATTGTTTAAAAGTGTCAAAAATGTGTCTAATTTGAAGTTCGAATAATTTATTTTGTAAAATTTTTGTTTTTGCACACATTTTCGTTTACAACTTTACAATCACACTACATAGACAAATATTTCCAAAGACAAAAATAAAGAAAAAAACATTGACGAATAAAATTTTTCTTTGAAGCAATGTGATCCGATGTATGGTTAAAGTTCTACAGGCGTTCAAATGTTGCTCGTCTAGAGGCGGTTGCATGCATTAGAGGGTTAAGCCCAACGAGATCCACTTTCCATCAAAAAATCGTTTTTGTTTTGTTTCGAAATTCTTTAAAAACTAATAATAATGCTGAATGTTGATTTCAAGAATTATATCTTTAAATGATAATTATTCTTTTGCAAAAGATCAAATGATATGGCAAGTGCGCATAGATCATTAATCACGATCAAGTGTTTTTAATTAAATTGAACTAGATGTGTTCGTAGACGCTTTGAATTATAATGTCCAATGTTTTAAATATTCGTTTATTGTCTTATAATAATATTCTAAGATCGTGTTCAAAGATAATCCAATCTTCAGCAAAGTTGAGACGGCAAAATTACCTCTAGCCTCTTAATCCGTTGAAATGAAGACATTTCAAAAATTACAAATGATCAAAAAACCTACGAAAATACAGAAAAAAGTTAACAAAATGGAACAAGCCAATCGTTCCAAAATCTACGAGAATAAACAAGTTATCTGTTGCCTTACATCAAATCAAATGTTTTTGCACAATGCGGCGCTCATTTTTAATATCCATAATATTGAACGCTAACATATTCGGTAACATCAGATCTAATGAATAAACGGCACAATGGAAGGAAAAAAAAAACAGTTCATCTCATATTATTTGATCGTTTGGGCGAATGGAGTTGGAAACAGTGGAATAAGCGAAGAAAGGAGATGAAAAACGAAAATGAAATGCGTAGGATGGACAATAGATTTTAAATTGACGTTACTTCTTAATTATCTCTCTACCATTTGGTGCGTTTGATGCGCGGCACCAAAACTGAATAAATTAGACTGTTTTTGTTCGTCCCGTTCGATTGATTACGAGCAACACATACGCAGCCACCCATATTGGTCGTGTTTCTTCGATTATTTCATTAGACATCTACCTAAAAAATGTGATGAAATCCAAAATTAAACCTAATGAGGGACCACATTTCGTTCATTTCCACTATCAACAACCGATAATTCAATGAGTCGATTTAAATCGACAGCGGCGGCGGCTACTCATTTCAGCGGCTATTATTTGATTCTATTTTCTAGTCTGAACACAGTTTGCTATGCATTGAGAAGCAAATGCAGCAATTAAAAGAAGGAATGACGACAGTACATAATCTATTGCAAATGAATTGTCATATACGAGTTGAATGCTCTGTGCAACAAAGAATTCCTGTCCAATCTGAGCGAAACCACTGTTGAAAAATTGTATTTCTTCTTAAATATCTATTTCTTTAAATAGTCATTCAGATCGGTAGCTCATTTCCTTGAAAAGGAAATAGTGTAATGAAAAAAAAGAGTCATAAACTGAGAATGCCTTTAATATTGGCCGATGGAGAACTGAGACAACGAAATATTTTCTTAGGTCAGATTTGAAAACTCCTTCCATTGACTATAGATTTGCCGTATAAAAAACGGCATTTTAATTAGTTGAGCTAAGCTTGTGTGCATGATCATGAAAATCAACAAAGCCAGTCCAAATGGGTCAGCTCAAACAGAGAATAGAAGGACACACCGAGAGTAAAGATATAATTACATATTTGCTAAAAAAAAAAAACCAATATGTTTATTTAGCTTTTGTTTACTTCTGTAAATAAAAAAAAACTTCGTCTCTT